ATATATATATATTTGTTGTTTTGTTTTTGTGGTACTGTGGAATGAAACCAGGGCCTCACACATGCCATGCAAGCACTGTACCTCTGAGCTGCTCTCCTGTACCTCACCCCACCTCCTTTTTTTTTCTGGGATTGGGATAAACTCTAGCTAAGTTTGGCCTGAAACTTGGATCCTCTTGCCTCACCCTTCTAGAGAAGCGACTGTATATATATTTGTTGTTTTGTTTTTGTGGTACTGTGGAATGAAACCAGGGCCTCACACATGCCATGCAAGCACTGTACCTCTGAGCTGCTCTCCTGTACCTCACCCCACCTCCTTTTTTTTTCTGGGATTGGGATAAACTCTAGCTAAGTTTGGCCTGAAACTTGGATCCTCTTGCCTCACCCTTCTAGAGAAGCGACTGGGATTATAGGTGTGCAAAACCACACCTGGCTGGAGAGTTTATTTTCTTTCTTTTTAAACTGGAATAGTATCTGCTTTGTCTTGTCTCTCTACTGAATGCAGAATGTAGATCTTCCTTTATAAACATTCATCTATCATATAGAATATTGGTCAGGTGGTACAGTTTAGTCTTTTTCAAAGATTGAAAAATAAGGAATATTCAAAATTAACCGGGGGTTAACCACACATTAATTAAATTTATTTAGTGGTACAATTATGATGAATCTTGTGTTTATGAAATAAGCACTTGAAGGTCCTTGGTTAATTCTAAGATTTTGAGCTTTGAGAAAATGAGGCCTCATTCCTACTTATAGCATGGGTTTATCCTCCTCTAAGATACAATAATATATATAGTTTTGAATAGTTAGACTCAAATCTCCAAGATCTGCAAAATGATCAGTGTGTTTATGGTATCCTAAATTTAAATTGTAGGGCTATCTTCACTCTTGATTTTTTTCTTTATATATGGATATGCTTGCTAACTTTTCGTTCCACATTATCATCTTTAGAAATTTATTTTTTTATAGATTGCTTCTTGAACTCAGGGCCTTGTGCATGTGAGGCAGGCACTATATCACTGAATCCTTATTTTATTTTGTTTTGTTTTCTTGAGGTAGTGTCTTGCTATGCACTTTAGGCTGGCTAAGCTCATGGCGATCTCCTGCCTCAGCCTCCCAAGTGCTAGGATTGATTATAGGTTTGTGCCACCACTTCTGGCTTCATTTTTTATTTCTGAGACAGAGTCTCACTAAATTACCCAGGCTGGCCTCCAATGTGCCATCCTCTTATCTCACACTCCTAAGTAGCTTGGGATGGAATTGTCATAGGACAAGATCTGAGGAGATTTTTAAGTACTGGGGATTCTTGGTATCAGTGATCGAACTCAGGACCTTGTGCTTTTGAGGCTGGCGGTGGCACCACTGAGCTAAATCCCTGGCCCATGTTTTGTTATTTTTGACACATTTCTGAAAACAGAAAAATAGAGGGCCAGAGAAGATGATCGGTGGAGACATGAACAGCTTGCAGATAAGAACGTTAGGTCATCTACGTTAAGAATGCATGTGGCAAGGCTGGCCATGCATGCCTGTGACCTCAGCCCTCTGGGAGGCTGAGGAAGGATTGGGAATTGGGGCCCAGGCCCAGCCATTTAGTGACTTAGTGAGACACAGTTTCAAAATGTAAACATGGCTGGGTTGTAGGTTGGTTAGAAGGCCCTGGGTTCAAGGCCCAGTACCACAAACAAAACAAAACAGGAGGAGCATGGCAGATGCAGCAGTTCCACAGGAAGAGGGGATACTTGAGCAAAGTTGCTGAATATGAAATAGAGAAGCGGTGTGAGGACTGAACATGTCTAATTCAGTCAAATGTTCTAGCTAATGATTTCTTTTTGTTGATATTTTTCAGAGAAATATGAGATGCAATGGGAGCAGAAATTGTTTGAATAGGAGAAGTAGGTTTGGTTCTCGAGAAAGAGACTGGCTGAGAGAAGATGTGAAGAGAGGCTGTGTTTACCTTTATGGAGCTGACACAACCACTGCCACTACAAGTACCACCTCCACCTCTTCCTCTTCCTCCACCTCCTCTGACTTACATCTCGTCCTTTGCACAGTAGAGACACCAGCATCGGAAATATGTACCGGAGAGGGAAGAGAAAGTCTTTATTTACAGCTTCATGGAGACCTGGTCAGGTGTGGTCTGAGTTTCATCATTAATCTTATTGCAGTAAAAGTAACATGTGTTTCTGCTTGGAAGTAGACTTTAGGGGTTTTTTTTGTTTTGTTTTTGTATATTCAATCCAGGGCCTTTGCACTGAGTTACATCCCCAACCCTTTTTATTCTTTTATTTTGAGATAGATTCTCACTAAGTCATTTTGTTGACCAAACTGTAATCTTCCTGCCTCAGCCTCCCAGTGTGCTGGATTACAAGTGTGTATCACTAGACCTGGATGTTAGTTTTTTTCCCCCGCAGGAAATATTGGTGATTGAACCCAGGGCATTCACACTAAGCTATATTTCCAGCCCATTTTTAATATTTTTATTTTGAGATAGGGTCTAACTAAGTCTCTAAGCTGCCCAGGCTAAGTTTGAACTTGCAGTCCTTTTGCCTCAGCTTCCCAAGTGCTGGGATTACAGGTATGTGCCACCATGCCTGGCTAAACTCTTAGTTCTCTTGCTTTAGCCTCTGTAGTCCTGGGACTTCAGGCATCTACCACCACTCCCAGTGACGTTAGGATTTTTCTCATGCTGGAGCTTATGTTGACTTTGGAGTCATTAGGCCTGAAAAAAGATTTATCCTTGGAATGCTGCCTTTATCGTTCCAATTTTAGTGTATGTGCTGCTGAAGTGAACATGTGGAATGCTGACTTTATACTCGCATTTTAAAACTATCATGAAGGAAAATTTAAGAGATCTTTTACTTTTGAGAGTTTTTATAAGTATTTTAAAAGTTAATTTTTTTGTAGAGTGTAAATAGGATGATATTGAAATGTGTTAAGTATATAGAGTAAGACAAGACTTTCTCTATCCCCTGTTCCTCAGGCTCCAAGACTTTAATTTTTAGGAAGACTGTTATTAACAATATCTTATATATCCTGGGGATAGTCTGTGCATATATATTTAATACTTCTTAGAGATCTTTCATATTAATATTTATATAGTTATAATTTATTGGCTACAATAATACTGTTTTCATTTTATGAATCTCCCATAATTTTAGCCTGTCTCCTGTTACGGACATTCAAATTGTTACCAGTTTTTAGTACTGTAAGCGATGCTTGTATGTGGGAGTTTATCGCAGAGTAAACTTCTTTAAGTGGAATTGCTGAATCAAAGGTTATGATCATTTATGATTTTGATAGTTGCTATCAGTTTCTTCTTTAAAAATATTTTTTTATATTTCCATCTAAAATATGAATGTATACCCATTCCCCCTTTTTCCAAAGTGTTAGTATTAAATTTTATATGTAGATATAGAAATGGACCCAAAATGATCTTACACATGCTTGTTAACAAAAATGATTGTTGATAGTATTTATTTATTTATGGTCCCGGGGAATAAGTCCAGTGCTTTGAGCATGCTAGCCAAGGAGTCTACCCCTGAGTTTTTACCCTCAGGCACTGTTAAATTGGAGAAGGTAAGGTCAGCATTTCAAGGGGAAATCTCTTCCCACCTCCAATGGCTTAAATTTTTACACATTTGATCAGAGTTTTGCTGTTTTGTTCTTTTAATTCTTTTCATGAGTGAAGTTGAATGTATTTCCACAGATTTAAAAGCCATTAATGTCTGAAAGTTTTTTCATAAATGTGAAGAACAATAGCCTCATAGTAGTCTTACACTATAAATATGAACCCTTTAACTTTAAAGAAAGAAATCACTATTAGTTCACTATTAGTTCTTTGAACTAGACATCAAATCAGAGCTGTTTAAATACCTGACCATTAACCAGCTGTGATGGCACAAACTTGTAATCCAAGCACTGAGGAGGTGAGGCAGGAGGAACAAGAGTTTGAGACTAGGTTGGGTTATACATAGTGTGAGGCCAGCCTGTATCTGTTTCAGAAAACAACAAAAACCCACAAAACCCTCTAACCATTGTTTTTCTGTCCTCCACACACCTTCCAATAAAGTCTTTTTCTCCCCCCCCCGTGGTACTGAGGGTTGAACACAGAGCCTTTACAATGAGCTACACGCCAGCCTTTTATGTTTTTTTTTCTTTTTATTGAGTTTATTGGTACATTTTAGGTAATACTGTACAGTTACATTCATCATTGGAATCTTGTACCTTTACATGACAGGTCTTGGTTCTCATTTTTTCCCCTTGTCCCTGCCCTCCCTTCACCCTCTCCCCCCTCCCCATTTACAAACACTTTATTTCCATTTTTGCATTTTCTCATATTTTTTTCTCCTAAATGAAATAAATAAGTCACACATGTGTAAATACTGAATAGTTTCTCTGGTGTGAAAAACTATAATAGTACACAAGATCCTAATGAGATAATTAACAATGTGAAATAGGAAGGGTAGGGGAAGGGGAATAAGGGAAAAGAAAAAAGTATCAGGCTTTTATGTTTTGAGGCAAAGCCTCACTGAATTGCCCATGCTGAGCTCCAGTTTGGGATCCTCCTCCCTCAGTGCCCAGAGAGGATTACAGGAAGAAATATCTTGAAGCAGAGTTCAGAGATATGGGTTCAGTACTATTCAAAGTGAGAGAGGAAGCTCCCACTTTAAAAGTGTGGTAATAATAGTAACACCTTTAGCTAAGCTAAAAACTGATGTAATTTATAAATGTAATCTAGGTTTACTATGTATTCTTTTTAGGATTTGGATAATTCCTGAAACAGTAGATTAGCATTTGAATGTTTTCTTTGTTCACTATTTAACTACATTTTCTAAATCTATTTATACAACTAAAGGATCAGACTGGGTGATCCTTAGGCTTTTCTAAATCTCAGCACTGATGCTGATCTAATTTTATCAGGTGGAAAGTGTTGACCTAAATTAAAGCTGGTAGTGTTTGAGTTCACTTATGCATGTGACTTACTCATTTGTTTGCTATGTTTATGTACACAAAGATACTAGAAATGAGAAAACCTTCCTGGAATGAGTTTGGTACTACTAGTTGTGTGATTAGTAAAGAATCCAAATGTAATGTAGTTTATTTACTTATATGAACTACCTTGTACTTAAAATGGAAATTTTGTCTCTCTCTACCTCTGTTCTCTTGATAACTTATAGTGAAACAGCTCTTTGAAGATATAATCAATTGGGAAATAGTGAAAACACCGTTGAACTGTAGTTTGAAAGAATAGATATATTTTCATTCCCGGAGTAAGAGCTGTAGAACTTACTCAGCTAATGGTGATGATAATGATGATGATGGGTCCAGCTAACTCTCAGTGCTTGCCCTCTGGTCAGTGGGCTTAGCTAGCTTTATGCACATTTTCTCATCAAATCCTTACAGTAACTCCAGGGGAGGAAGTATTGTTTGTTTCAAGTGGGGAAGATTGAGGCATTGAGAGACGTCCTGTAGCTTCCTCAAGTTCAGGCAGATACTACCAGGAAGTTGGAATGCCCAGCATTCAAGGAAGATGATGAACTTCTGAGTACAGGTCCTATAGGAGAGGAGCTGGCATAGCAGCTTTCCTTACGGAGTTTTACTGCTTAATTATGCCCATTTCAAGATCTTCTTTAGATGTCTTACTCAGCGTTAATTGCTTGAGTTCATTCTTATCTAATAAAAGGAGGCATTTTCTTCAAATAACCCTTTATAAGATGGTTGGCAGTCTAAGGTATTACTGAAGTATGATATGTGCTCATTGAAGAACTTTTGGAAACTAAAAAAGCATAAAGGCAAATAATAATATTCAGTACTTATGCTTTATGTTCTTTACCTCGTGAAGTAAAAACTCTCCCTCCTTTCCTTCCCTCTCCTTCCCTCCCCTCCCCTCCCCTCCCCTTCCCTGCCATGCCCACTACACTGATTTAATGACCCACTCACGGGCCTCAGTGCAGTTTGAAGTCCCCTCCCCTCCCCTTCCTTTCCTTTTCCTTTCCCTGCCCTTTCTTTCTTCCTCTCCACCCCACCCTTTCTGTCCCCACTTTTAGATGTAGAAAGTGAGGCTTAAGAGAGTTAAGCAGCTCAACTAATAGTAATCAACTAGGCAGTGGTAGAGCTGGAGTTTAAACTATCACATTCTGACACCAAATCCCATTTGCTTTTTGTTGTTTTTTGTTTTTTGAGACATGATCTCACTGTGTAGTAGTATAGGCTGGCCTTGAACTCTTGATCCTTCTACTTCAGCCTCTCTAATGCTGGCACTATTGTACCCAGCAGATCTCATTTTGTTAACTTATATTAGTAACATTTTTCCTCCATATCATTTTTTTGACCACATGTACGCTTCTTAATAATTACATATTTGGTCTCATACCATATATTCAATTTTACATCCTCCTGCTTCACTTAATAGATAATCTTAATTTAATTGTATCATTAAAAATTAGATACCAGTTTTTTTCCCCCCAGTAGTGTGGATTGAACCAGGAGTGCTCTACCACTGAGTTACATCCCTAGTCCATTTTATTTTTTATTTTGAGACAGGGTCTCACTAAGTCTCCAAGTTGCCTAGGCTGCCCTCAAACTTGTGGTTCTTCTGCCTCAGCCTCCTAGAGTGCTGGAATTACAGGCGTGAGCCATCATACCTGGCTCCATGTTATAGGTAACAGTATAAACTGTTTAAAATTGAGAGAGATGCAGTAATGGTCTAGGGGTTGAATTGTAGAATGAGAGTTTGTATGTTCAAATCCTGGACTGACAGTTACTGTGCGAGTACTTCTTGTGCCTCAGTTTACTAATCTGTAAAATGGATTATACTATTTACATTGTTGAGTTTTCATCAGGATTAAATTAATTACACATGTTATGAAAAATAAATGAATTAATATTTGTAAAGTAATACTTAAACCATCCACTCGGGCAGCTTGTTAATACACAGATTCTGATTCAGTAGATCTAGGACAGGGTGTGAGATTGTGTATTTTTATTAAGCTCCCGAGTGTTGTACTGTACTTTGAGTAGCAAGGAAATAAAGTGCTAGTTATTTCCCTTTTCTCTGTCTGTGTCTATATCTTTGCTGGGAATTAAACCCAGGGCTTCCAGTATACAAAGCATGTGCTTTATCACTGAGC